ATGATCACCTACATGCAGCATAATTTGCCATATCAAGGACAAACATAATTGGATACAATATTACTCAAGAATAAATTAAATAAGGGAAGAGAACATCGCAAGGAGAAAAAAAGAGCTAAGAAATGGAAACGGAAATTACAATTTCAAAGATTCACAAAGAAAAGACTGGCGTTAAAGCAACTATTCTGCAGACAAGAAATTGCAGAAAAGATAATAGTTTAAGCAAATTGGAATATTGAATTCCATAAAAGCAAAACTAAAGCTGACATAGCAATGTCATTTACCCTTCGTTCCTTATAAGTTATACATAAGATAATTATTTAGTTTAATTCAAGTTTCACACTTGAGCTGGTCATATGCTTTACGTAGAACAGTGTTGTCCTCTCAATTAATGATCTAACAAAAATAAAAGTAGTTGACACATACATACAAAAATATGTATACATTACATACAAAAATATGTATACATTATATATATATATATATATATATATATATNAAGCATTTAAAATCTTTTATTCAAATTTATGTATCCAAGCATTCCACTTAATTGAGGTAGCAATGAGAGGTTGACAAGATAAGTTGAGAGGTTGAGAAGTCAAAGGTTTGCAAGACATGTTGAGAGGTCGACAAGACATGTTGAGAAGTCTAGAAGACATCTTGAAAGGTTGACAAGACATGTTGAAAGCTCAGAAGGACATGTTCAAAGGTATGGAAGAAATGTTGAGAGGTCAACAAGACATACTAAGATTGGAAAGACATGTTCAGAGGTTTATAAGACATCTTGAGAGGTCGGCAAGACATGTTAAAAGGTTGACAAGACATGTTCAGAGGTCCAAAAGACATGTTGAGAGCTTGATGGGCATTTCACATGGCTTTATGTAATTTCATTATTTTTTTAGGTCATACAAGTGGTCCATAACAACATTCAATCAAATACAATATTATGAATTGAATTAATGGTATTGGTAGGATATCATATAAGTGGTCCATAACAACATTAAATTGAATAATGCTTTCCTTACAACCTTATAATTGAATAATGTTATTGTTGGTGTTGGTTCGTTACTTGGTGCAACCATGGGTATGGGTCTTCCTCCTTTAACTGACCTCTAGTTTGATGGTTCTGCAGAGTTGCTACATCCACTTCCAATTGAAATTATAGTCTATCACTAGGGTATAATAATTATATTCAATATTGTATCAATAAAAAAAACTTCAAAAAAACGTAAGATGATATTGTACCTTTATAGTTTTCATCCCCTTTCTACAACTTCTAATATTATGTCCATATTGATTACACCTATTATACTTCATAATAATATTTTTCTTTTAACATTTCTTAATGATTGACATATTCATCAGCTTCCCTTCTTCGTATCTTCTTAGGCCTCCCAAGTGGTGTTTTATAAATGGGTGGAAGTAGTTGTGGACAATTACCTTTAGGTCATAATTGTTGTTCATTGATTGAGATAATTTGACGCTCATAATAACAAGCTTGACAGGCATCTCTCTTGTAATATGGATGAACATAATCTTTAGGGTTTTTTTATTTTGTAATGAATTATAGCCACAACATGTTTACAAGGTATGTCCACTGAAATTCAAAAATAACAATTGTAACTATGGCTAGTTAGATCCACAACAAACTTTTCCATTGTGAACTCCTTAGTGACCTCAAACTTAGCATCCCCTATCCACACAGGAATCCAATTCCCACTCTTTTTTAACTTCCATATCAAGCCTTTTTCTTGGTTTAGGCATAACAATTTCAGGATATGTTTTTACTTTTTCTCTTAGTGTTGTAGACATACTCATGATGTATGACCTAATCCATTCATCATAGTGGGAAATATTAGTGAATAGGGTCTCTACCTATGCAACTAATAATTAACTAGGGGTGGGGAAACTGCCCTATAGTGTACTGCACTATTAAAATCTATAGATAACTATAAACTATTTCAACAAAATTGCACTGAACTAAAAAATAGTTCAGAGTAACTGAACTGAACTATTTTTTAGTTCACTCATACTGCAATATAGTTTCAGTTTGAATCAAAAACACTCTTCTTCATATGTTTCCCTTTCACGTTCAGTAATGGAAACACACAAATGCAGTGGCCAATTTATGCGACTTTGAGCTAACGATGCAGAAACAACTCACAAAACTCTTCAATATAATAATTCATCAAATCAAATTACCCATTGTCTTCTTTCAATCTTCTCGATTCTCTTTCCACCATAACATCTGCATGTGCATGTTAATACTTTATTTAATGTAAATGATTCACCATCAAAATACAAAAATATATATTTCTTACCAAGGGAACAACAACATTATGCAATGAGCATTCCATAAAGAATTTGTCCTTGTTTCTTCAGTCATTTATAAAGGATAGCAATTGACTACATCACTACTGTAATGTAAGTTGAAGAATATATGATAAATAAACAAAGTTTCAACCCGGTAAAATGGAACATCTCAGTTAAATCAATTGCTACTTCGACAAGATTAACAAAAGTACTTCGATGAGATGATAACAACATGGTTAAATTTGTTCTCTTAAGTAATCCACTTGCTAACTGGCAGATTCTACACTGTCCTCCCTGTTTTCTTGGAAACATTTTTTGCTCTGATAAAGCTTTAACAGTTGAGACGATTCCTCCTTAAAACGCATCACAAAACTTTTAAGAAACAACTCTTCAGAAACACCAAACGGGGTATACAACTTGACATTCTTCTCTCTCAAACCTTTATCTTGGAAGGGTCAAACCCCATTTCCTTAACTTCATCAATAGTCTCCCTCAAGTTAGTAGACAAGAATATAGAAGGTCTCCCTCTGAACAAATAGCCGATGTCGGAGTCCTTGACTCCAACATCAAGCAACATGTCCACATTCTGCACTCCAACATTATATCGAAGGAAAGGTCTACAGAAAACATAATCAATGGTTTTCTGGTCAGATTCGAGAAACCTTCTCACCAATTTGAAGGAAGGGATCACGTTGTTCTTGAGGGTGGATACAAGGATTTTGGGGCACCTATTAACGAGGCGAACGATATCAGAAGCAGAAGCACCTTTTGAGCATAAAAATTGGAACTTTGGCGAAAGCCTCTCGTCAACGTTGCATATGAGTATGTTGGGTATGCTTTTGACGATTTTGTTGATGTGAGCGTGGGTGAATCCATTTCTGTTGAAGAAAGCAATGACTGAGTCGGGCTTTTGAGGGGTATCAAAGCTAACGTGCTTGGAAACCTTGAGATCGGTTTGTGGTAAGAAGCCAAAGGTGTCTATTTAATGTAAATTGACGCTGGAGCGAAAAGAGAGCCGATGAGGAAACCCTAAAGGGCTAATCGAGAGAGATGGGCAATGGCAGGATGGGCGATGGCAGGATGGGCGATGGCGGGATGGGTGACGGCGGGATGAGCGACAACAGGATGGGCAGCGGTAGGAAGGAAGAGGGCAACGACAAAATATGTGTGAGGAGCAGTGGTGGTAAAGAGAAAGATTCTGATGGAGAAAGGATGAAGAGAAACATGTGTTAACTAGTTAACTAGTTAACCATACTAAAATTATTAAGTTTCAGTTTTTTTAATTTGAACTGTGAAATAATTTAATTTGTTTTTAGTAAAAACAGTTTAGTTTTTTTAAGTATAAAATAATACAGTTAACTGCAGTTCAAGTTCAGTTTGATGAACTATGTCCACCCCTATAATTAACCACCATAGAATGTCTTTAGATGACAACCGTCAACACCAATGAAGGGCCTGTAACCACCCAAGAATCCCTCCTTACAATCCTCTAAACACATGTACAAACACTCAAACCTTGGTGTCAAAGTCGTTTGGAGTTGTGTAATGTTTATTTTGAACCCTTCCACCAAAGTTCTACACCGCCACCACATTTGAACTCTTTAACTATTCTCAATGCTTCGAAATATGAACATCAATGAAGATAGATTCTTTTAACCACATTCTTTTAGAACTTGTCCATGAAAAATGACATGAAACCTATTTTGAAACATATATTATAAATCACGATTTTGAAACATATATTATAAATCACTATTCAAAATCAAACTACCATAATCCTAAACGCACTCAACATTACACAAAAAGTAAAACCAATTTACAAACTACCTCACTTTAATAAATTACGATTTTGTTAATGAAACCATTGTGTTTAAATGCGAACTTTAGAAATTACAGCTATTCTCATCTTCACTAATTCTAACATAAATGTCTTAAGAAAACTAAATCCTAATTTTATCAACAATTTGTTTTTAACATCACAATTGTAATTATTCAAGTGTCTTAAATGTATTTGGGATGTGACATATATATAAAAAAATCCTAATAACATTATCATAAAAAACTAAATTCATAACATTCTAACAGAAGAGGACAGAAATTAAACAAAATTTGAATAAAAAAGAAAAAACAAAAAATACATAATAATTTAGAGAAAAAAAGATAAATAACTATTTCGCTTTGAACTCAGCTTACAATTGCATACTTAACAATGACACAGTATTCCAAACCTATGCATTCCTAATAACGACTAAGAACTCACATGGTTTCTGAAACGTTTCCATAGACTTACACGTGAATTCCTAGGAAAGATCTCCATATAATATATACATTATATATATATATATATATATATATATATATATATATATGATACAAAATGAGGTGATTGATAGTAATTCAGGAATGGGCCAATAGACGACTCCGCGTTTAATCAGGAGAGTGACTCACGTTGGAAGAAGCTGGTATTTTTAAAAATTTACTGTTGAGAGGGGTATTTTTAGTTGACCACTAATAAAAAATCTCAAATAATCTGATTGTACCGGTATTCAACCTCAATCCTTGATCTAATATTTTATGCAGACTATGCAGACTAATGATCACATAATGATGATGACATAAAATATTAGTACCCACTCTAGCACCTTCTAGGTGTACATTGTTGGGAATGCAAGTATATTCAAGTTCCACATTGGATAGAAATGAAAAAGTAGAACATTATATAAAAATGAAAAGCCTATTAACCAATTGTCTTAAGGTTTTAGGTAAAGAGTTACGTCAATCCCTTATGTGATTAGGCTCAAATCTCATTAGTATTATGTCCTCCAAGGGTTTCCCCTTCACAAAGAGCTAAAGCTCAATCTACAAAATAATCCAAAAGTCCTCTACATTTCAGGACCCCCAACTATATAAAGGAAACATGTGAACCCCGTCCTCTTCACTTATATCCGTTTCTCTTTTCTTCTCTTAATTGGTTGAATTTTCTCCTCTATCTAAGGGTTTCTTGGCTTATGTCTAGCAGACTATCTTTCCCAACAACCCTACCCTTCTTTACTTCTTTCTTTCCTTTCTTGATGTCATGAAGAAATTCCTCTTTTCCTCCCCTTCTTGCACTGTCAAGAGATTTCTCCCTTCCTTTTGAGTGCCTTTCTTGATTTTGGTATTCCAATATCATTTCTTTCAATTCTTGGAAACTTCTTCTCCATTCCATTATCACCCTTTTCTGGTTGTTGACGCCCCTCTACAAAGTATTGACTCTTCCTTCCATGCTTGCACCACTTCGTGATCTGGCAGGTCAGACCAATTTTTTAGGAATCCAGAATTGAAAAGAGAAAAAAAAGTAATATTCTTTACTGTATAGACTGAAAAGAACACAAAATAGGAGAGCACTCTCTCCTCCAAGGGTTTTCCCTTCACAAAGAGCTAAAGCTCAATCTACAAAACTATCCAAAAGTCCCCAGCATTTCAGGACCCCAACAATATAAAGGAAACCTCACTCACCTTAACAACCTAACTAACAACTAATTCCTAATTTGTTTCCTTCTATCATGCACACATTATATCCTATCAGATGAACCAACCTAAATTTTAGTCAAAATAAACAATCCCTTTCTACATCATATATACTGACTAAATACATGAAAGGGGATGCAATTCCTTCACAAAATGCATCATACAACGTACCCCAGAGTTGTAAGCAAATTTAAATCACAAATTCATCAACCAAGTACTATGTTTATACTTTTCCAGATTAGATATATATAAAGCTTTCAAGTACCCAAGCAAGGTACACAAAGTTATTGGAATATTTATCCAGTTAACACACAACACAAGGTGTCTGCATGATTACTCCACCCATTAACCCTTTTAACTTCAGAAAGCTATGAACAGCTATGGTAGCTTGATTCAATACAAAATCAGATATAGTAATACTCAGTGTTAGGATCTAGTTGCAAAGTATGGGACTGGAGTACTACAATAGTTATGGGATTTGTAAGGATTTGGACTCTCCAACTACAATAGCTAGGTTTTGTGTTGTTGTCCTCCAAAGATTTTTTCAATTCGTATTATAGCCTTCCACCATATCTCGGTTGCAAATAAGCAGCATGGGTGGTCTGTCAGCATTGTAATATTTGCTCATAACTAGTCAAAGGGCTAGTGAACAGCCACACGGCTGAGGATTGGGATGTGATGGGACGTTAGGATCCAATTGCAAGGAATAGGACTTGTTCCAAATTGGATGTATGTCAATGTCATTCTAATATGGAATTTATAAGCTTTGAGCTCTCCAACTACAACAGTTAGTTTTTGTGGTGTGGTTCTCCCAAAGTTATTATAAACTCAACTTTCAAAGCTTGTGATATAGATCAACTTGTGTGTGTAATTTAAAATAATAAATATTCAGGAAATATAATTAGAACTATGCTCTATTAACCTCGAACATGAAAAATCTGTAATCTAGTCTATCTTGAGTCAGAAAATTCGGCAATACTTGAATAAAATTTTTTAAAAATTCCTTTATTTTATGTTCATATTTAAATATCAATATTTGGCTCATAATGATCCAACACACTTTATAAAATTGAATGCATAAAATCACCTTCTCAATTTCAATACATGCAAACTATTATATCTAGTTAATCTTTCACTCATACTTATATCTTTGCTCAAAACTTTAAAGGCATGCACCAGCTTACAAACAGATGATACAAAGAATAGAGTAAAATTTCTCTCTAGGCTCAAATAAACTGCATACAAGCACAAGTTGTGTCTTTGAAAAAAAGAGAAGTGAATAAAGAATGAAAAATGAAATCATGATGGGAATTTTGATTTATCCTCTTTTAGTATGATCTATTTCCTTACTAATTCTCAGATTTAAGACTTCCTTTATGTTTGTTTTACTATCCAGCTGTTTTTCATTCCCCTGGAAAAGTTTTTCATTTGAATAAACAAAAAGCTGCCTTTGAAACATGTGAAAACTACGCTAGATATTTTATAGAGAAAGATAAAAATATTTATTATCAAACTTCCTCAGTATGATCTAATTATTAAGAGTAATGCACACTTCAGGTGAATTAAAAACCACAGCAGTTGGACCCTAAAAATATACATAGTTGATCTAGCAGCATATATAAAACCATTATGAACAAATGTGGACCACTGATGAGAAAGTTATCTAGAGGTGGATAGTCGATCCTCCAGAAAGCCCAGACTGAAGCGAAATGGCTTGGAGGCCTACTGCTGCAAATTGAAGATAGGATGTTGAACACCCAACTTCATAACATGCTCACAGAAGAGGCAAAAAGGCTAGAGTGCATAAGGATCCTCAAGTCAAGCAGGGTGCCAGGTTCTACAAGCAGTGCTTCAAGTGAAGACTCTAGTAAAGTTGATAAGTCGATGGAAGTGAGGAAGTCTCAGAGCGTGGATCTTCTAGAGAAAGAGAAGTGGGCACTTCCACAAACTCAAAGAGTAACGATTAGGATGTCTGATTTAAGGGAAATAATTTTTTAAGAAGTGGACTTTATGCCTAACTCAACCCCACAAAACTGGCTTGTAAGGTGAGGTTTGCACCCTCAAAGAGTAAGGATTAGGATGTCTGATTTGAGGGAAATAATTTGTTAAGAAGTGGACTTTAAGTCTAACTCAACCCCACAAAACTGGCTTGTAAGGTGAGGTTTGCACTCACTTATATACTCTAAATTGACCTTATCTCTAGTCGATGTGGAACTTCAAACACACCCCCCTCACGCCGAGGTATATATGTCTCGAGCGTAAGACTAGACATTAATGAGTGGTTCAATAGCGACCCGATAGCGGGTGGAAAAATATGCCCAACAAATAACAAATATCGCTAGGATAGGCTCTAACCTGGCTCTGACACCATGTTAAGAAGTGGACTTTAAGCCTAACTCAACCCCACAAAATTGGCTTGTAAGATGAGGTTTGCACCCACTTATATACTCTAAATTGACATTATCTCTAATCGATGTGGGACTTCCAACACAATCCAATTCAGAACTGCTCAGGTACCTTCAGTGACTTTAAGGGCCAGTCAGAAATTAGCAGTCATGTGTTTGGGCAAAGAGCCGATTGCCATGGCAAGATCCTTATGCCCCTTGGTCTTCACTAACATCTTGATCATATATTCTGGGTAGAGCTCTATGGGGGTCACCTATACGCTAGAGCAACTAAATTCAACGAAAGGGCACACGTCTACTTATTGTTAGACAATTATAAGGGGTGGTACAAGAACACTCACTTAAACCTTTAGGGGTTTAATGAAAGGAGATAACCATGATTCTCATTGCAATGCTCTCCTTGTCTGTGAGAAAGTGGAGGGTCAAGGTGATATGCTAGAGAAAATGCCAAAGGTACACACTAGAAAAGTGTTACTTGGAGAGGCTACACTAGTTGGTCATGTTTGTGGCATCAATCGTGGTCAGGGTTTACGTGTAAGAATGAGTGGGCATGACCAAACAATAGGTCAACATAGGTTGTATGGTTGAATCAAGTGCGCATCGCACACAAGGACAAGTTCTAGTGTGCAAGGGTATCAGAGACCATACACAGCCAACCTAGCCAGATTGGTCAGGCCCAAGAGTTTTGAGAGTTGATCAAGGAGGAGAGGAGACGACAACACCAAGGGTCTTAGATGTGGCAGGATTTTTGTCTTTACCTTGGGGGCGTGTACATGGCAAGCTCGCTAAACACGTCTAAGGTCTTGAAGATTTTCCCTGCTATCAATGTGTCTACTGCCACCACGATGCTGGACATGATAGCACAAATTGGCAACGGGAATATTGTGGACACAAAAAAATCATGTTAGGAAGGATTTAAGAAAAAGTTGAGAACTCAAATCCTCAAGATGTACACAAGGTCATACATGCCTTGCCCTTAGGGAAGGTGTAGAGGTCCTACTTGGTTTGGGGCTTATCCTAAAGGACAAATGGATGTGGTCCCCTCAGCAGAGAATCATGCCAATTCGGCAAGTTGGCATGGGAGTATACAATAGACACCATTCACTATAAAGACTCTGGTATAAAGGCATACAATATCTAGGAGAGCTTGTGCAAATCCAACCTGGGTCACAAGAACATGTTGGCACAACTCGACAAGTTGTGCCCAATGCCTGGTAGCATGGACCTAAACCCAAAACATGTGATCAAGATGTTCGTGAAGGCTGAGGGACATAAGGACCTTCAACCCAAAACTCTAAAAAATGGCTTTATGCGTCATCTTCCTTACATGTTGTTCAACTTTCTCATTTTTAATCAGTGTAGGACTCAAACTCACATGTGGATTAATAATAGGATGAAGTCAAGCTTAGTTTATAAGTTGAAACTGTCTCTTTGCAGTTTAAAATCTCCTTGAGCAAAATCTGGTATTGTTGAGCTATAATTTGGTATGTGTTAGGGTATAAGGTGGGAGGTAATGAGAAGGAGAAGAAAGGTAGGAGGGAAGTGAGGCCGAACGGTATTGACCGTAAAGGCTGAACGGTGGAAGGCATGGAGAGGTAAGGCCGAACGGTGGTTGTTAGGGTATAAGGTGGGAGGTAATGAGAAGGAGAAGAAAGGTAGGAGGGAAGTGAGGCCGATCGGTAATGACCATAAAGGCCGAACGGTGGAAGGCATGGAGAGGTGAGGCCGAACGATGGACAAGGGAAAACGGTCAAACCGAACGGTGGACAAAGGGGAGCGATCAGGCCAAACAGTGGACAACGGGGAGCGACCAGGCCGAACGGTGGGAGGGACCAGGCCGAACGGTTGAAGAATCACCATCTTAACTAAACAGCGGTTAGGGAGGGCGAGAGCTAATTACAGTAAAAAGAGCCACAATAGGAGAGAATATTCAGTATAAGTTAATTAGAGTAAATAAATATATATCCTAGGGAAATATTCAATATAAGATATTTATAATAATAAATATATATCCTAGGGAAATATTCAATATAAGATATTTATAATTAAGGATATATGCTAGGATAATATACGGGGATATTTATATTAAATATAGAGATATTTATATTAAATGCAGATATATTTTAGGGAAATATTTAGTAAGAGATGGGGCAAGAAATAATTAGTATAAATAAAGCTAGAGTCTAGGGTTAAAGGTATGCTTTTGATTATTGAGTTTTTATGACAGACATTATTGTCTTGTGAGGGAGGAACCTCCCAAATGATTGATGGAGGTTATGCTCCCAATTATTGTTTACTTTTGTTTATTCAGATATCACCATCAATAAAAGATATTCATTCGTTCAATTTCATTCTTTCATTATTATTTTGCTTGATGTGAGTGTGTGAGAGGGTGATATACGAAACAGTATGACTCAAGCAGAATCTATTCATTCATTTTTCTACCAGCATACCATGTGTTTGTCAATTTATATGGATTATATAATTCAGGATCTCATTGAAGAAATGCTAGTTTATTCATTGCCAAATCAAAGACTTATATGGTTCACGTATGGAGAGAAAATCTGCTTTGGGATACAAGGGTTATTGATAGTAATCTTGTATCCTAGAAGCCAATATTTGGTTGCCAGTTTAATGTAGATGATAACGATCAGACTAGGGGATTGTGAACTTGTAGAGGCAAAACAATTACTTGGGGAGTTGAAATTTGCGAGTGTTGTGATAGATTTGGTATTGTATATAAAAGCACAAAAACTGACAATTAAAACAGTTATAGGTTATAACTGTAACACATATAAGTACGTTGGGGCCTGGTAGGAGGATATGTTTTGTTGGTTGGGTTTGGTTTTTTGAAAAGGGCTGAGAGAGAGGTCTCTTGGAATTCCATCTTGGCAATTACTGTAAATCTACAATTGTATTTTGGGCTTATTTCCCTGTCAGATTGGCACAGAAATAGTCTTTGTTCAATAAAGAAGTATATTCAGTGTAAGTCTTGGATACCAGTTCGATCATGTCGATAAGATAAAAATGTAGTAATAATCAAGTTGCTCTTTACATTACATCAAACACAATATTCCATGAGAAAACCAAGCAAAGAGAATCATTTATCACTTTATTAGAGAAAAAGTCCTCTCGGGGGAAACTACCATTGAGTTTGTTAATTCTAATTGTCAGCTTGTGATACCCTAACAATGTTTCGTATGGGTCATTGAATATCAGGTCCATATTAACAAGCTTGGTGAATATGATTTATATCCTTCAACACAAGGGGGAGTGTTGGAAAGTATTTCTTATTTTGGGAGAATATAACCTAGTTTGGAGCTGTCAATTTCTCAGTTCATTAGTAATTGCAAATTTTGTATATAATAATGTTGAGGCTATTTTCCACTAGCAATTCAGTAAACAATTTCTAATTAGAATAAGTACCTTATAATAGCTCCATTCTGTTTGGTTGTTATTTTTATAGGAAATAGGATTGTCACTAGAATATGCAATCTTTGCAGAGGATATATACAAAACTCCCATCACTGGACCAGCTGATGTGGACAAATAACATGCAAAAGAATTTTGAAGCCGTTCCTCTGGACCTGTTTCAAACGTGTTCAGGAAAATCTTCTCATATCCGCCTTCTGCCAGAACCTTTGTTCCCTGGGCAATTCTCCCCATAGCAGCTTCAGCAAAGCTAGGGCTTGTTTTCACTTAAGCACAATGTAAGAAAACAAGAAAATTTTAATTGCGTAGTGTAAAAGATTCACTGTCATTAAGATAATCCGAGGGGAGCAAAATAACAAGAAACAGAAGATTCATCAAATCATCAAGTACACTAATAATTAGAACACAATGAACAAACCCATATTCAACAACCAGTTGACATGATGATGATTAAACACAGGAAATGCTTAATAAAGTATACCATATATATATATATACATATATATAT